GAACATGAAGGAATAAATAAATAATAATAGAAGGTAAAAATAGGCACTAGCATTCCTAAAAAGCTAACGCATTCTAACAGGTATTTAGAGCTTGGGCTGTCTCATTCCTTATCTGTAAAGGCATTCTTAGTTAAATAGTTGACAGTAACCATGATCAGTACGTCAGAAAACCAAAATAATGAAACGAAATAGATAGAAGAAGTAGTGATGATGAGTAACTGCTCCCATTGGAAGCTCAAAAAAGCTCACAATAGTGATGGAAACAGAAGTGAAACTCTTGATCACAACATAAATAAGAAGAAGGTTATCCCTAATGTTGTTGTACAAGAAAAAGGATATCTAGAACCCTACGTAGGATTCCTGACAAATCAGAAATTACGGCCACAGGGAAATCTACTGACTCACTCAGGGGCATGCTGTGTAGACTAAACAGTCATAATCATCAAATATAAAAAGCTAACTCATTCTACAAAATGCCTTGTAATGACTGCAGCACCAAATTCTTACGTGAGATTAGTAGATTGGTGTCAGTCAAGTTATTGTTACTCAGGATTTCAGTCAAGTGAGAAGTGAGTGACTATAAAAGGATGAATGGCTTTGGAAAATACTCAGTACTTAATATTCATGAAGTAACGTTTGATCACACATTGGGCTGGGATGGAGCTACAATTCTTCAAGGTATTATAGTTAGATGGAAAGAGACTAACGAATACTTGTTCATCAATTCTACATTAAACACATGCAATATAAACGACCCGATGTCGACATCAGGGATATGGAAAATAATAGTACCAATAAAATCAAATGATAAGAATTAATTATTACATTGGGACAAGATTTGAAAGTTATTTACGTAACCCAGTGTTATCATTTGTAATAAATATTGCTCGGAACTTCACCAGAAAATAATCCTATATCAGAAAAATTACTATGCTGAGGAATTATACTCCACCAGTTGGCCCAAAGTTTATTCTTTTATTGGTGTTAATGATTTATTTCAAGTGTGCTTACGTGTTGTTATCAGTTAGAGAACCCCTGGAAATCAGGAAGTGCTGAACAGCTGTTTTATCACACCAGTTTGAAACTCATCGTCAGTACACACCCACCAGGTTTCTGATGCTTGGCGGTAACTGTCTGCAGAATGAAGCTGTCTGGATTCTTAGTAAGAAGTCCAGAACAGTAGACCCTACCCGGTTGAGGGTGAGGACATTTAGAGGTGATTGAGCTATATATAATGAATAGGTTGAAGTTAAAATTCATAGACCACTGAATTGGGTCCCAGTGGCTGAATGGTCTACGAGCTTATCTCCTAAGTGGGAGGTTTTGGGCTTTAACCCTGGCACTGGGTGCGTACTAATGAAGAATCCCGAACTAGGACAAAACGGCTGTCCAGTACTCTCCGGTTTTCAGTGGTTCTCTAAATGGTACAAATCAACGATCAAACTTGAAACAAATCAAATCCCTACAAACAGATTCTTGAAAGTCGATGATTTCCATCAAATATCTTAAGCATAGTCATGACGAAAATATTTGAAATCTGGACAGCAGATTTTATAATTAAGCGAACAACTACACAAAAATAGAAACTAAAGAAAACAGGAAAGCAACAAATACAGGTTAAATACTCACTTAGAATAAAACACAAAAGGAGCTGCATAGAAACACTATTCAAAAGATCCCGGATGCAAGGTGTCACTCCTGTCCTGAGGAGAATAAATGTGCAATACCTTATGAAGCTCCTCCATAAAACAGGATACTCACGAAATGCCATTAAATCATCCCTAGCCTCAACCCGGTCAACAAACTCAAAACTATCCATTCAAAGCACAAGAAAAACTATCCTACTATATAAGAACATCTTCGAAATCTCGGTAAAACTGTTTATACCTGCTGGAATCGATGTTGTCTATGAAACAACAAAGTCACTTCATTAATCGTCTCTATTTTAACCAAAAAAATGCAAAAGAGAGAGAAGAGATAATCACCATCAATGACAAAATAACCTGTTACAACTGTGGAAAACATTATGTCGGTCAGTTTGGATGCGTTCTTCTTCTTCTCCTCAGCGAACATGAATCGGCCATCAACAGACATGATATCGATTCCCGCACAAAAGTGAATTCAGACAACCACTGATGCCAATTCGACTGGGATTATGTACAAATCCCAAAAAAAATTAAAACCAAAAATGCCACAGAGATGCTAGGAGCCTAGTATTCAAGAGAATCTAAAATCAAGGGAAACAATGACATTGTTAAGATTTACCAATCCACAAAATGAAAGTCATATTAATAAAAGGTCACCTTTCAGATCGACAGAATAATCAGTACCAATATAGTTGAAGAAGAGAGCAAAAAAACACACAGAAACATCCAACCATATTCACTACTAACAGGAATCATGACTAATGAAGTTGTGGAGAATTCTAAAATCACATTTTACATTGAAGTCTACTTTAAAGATATCTAGAGAGGCAACAAAGTTTTGCAAATACACCATCCAGCCCAGAGACACAGTAATAGTGACTAATTTTTATTTTATGTTAACTTCCTATTAAATGCCTTTAGTAATATCAGTTACCAAGTTGTTGAGTTTTAGGCCTATCAGAATGAGGACTATTAACGTCTTACACTAGGTCACTATCAAAGATACTACTCAGTCACCCAGGCTGAATTGAGTAAAGTGGGATTAAAATCCACGACGAGTGGCTGAACTAACTGCAAGTTTATCTTAACCCAATGAAATGCATTCCATTTTGAGTTATGGGTTTAGCTAAAATAGTAAAGATAAAACTCAATGAAACTAGAGGAAATCTCATTATGTGCCATTTGTTCTCTTTAGCTGTCAGTCATCAAGGCAGTAAACAGGAAGCAATAATAATCCTTTTTCTACTAAAGATATTTCTGTTTAAATAAACGAAAACAATATAAAATCTAGCTGCTTTAATAAAGTGGTTTATTAATGTTTATTACTAATATTATAATTTACTGAATAATTCCATCTTCAGTTGTCATCAAAAAGAATTAATACCACCATACAAAAATCTGTTTGATTGCATGGAGGATTTAATCATGAGCAGACATAAGTTAGAGAACCACTGGGAAACCTGGGAGTACTGGACAGCTGTTTCATCCTAGTTTGGGACTCTTCAACAGTACGCACCCACCGTGGTTCGAACCCAGGAGCTTCTGGTTACAAGACGAGCTGGTAGACCATTAAAGCCACTGCTGAAGAGTCCCAAACTAGGATGAAACAGCTGTCCAGTACTGCCAGGTTTTCCAGTGGTTCTTTAACTGTTGTCAGCTCATGATTAAATCCTCCATGCAATCAAACAAAATCCCTACAAAACCAATACTTGAGAAAAATCTGACTAGATAAATATGCAAAGCGTGAAGTTTTGTACGGCATCTATTTCACTTTTGGATTATTTTTTAAAATATTACTTTGAATCCAACGTGGAAATAAGCTGCGCTCAGAATAAGGAACAAGATCTGAATCCTCTACACAGATGACAAGTCTTCTTACCTAAATGGTTCAGAGGATTAGTATTTCCAACGGGCTACTGCGAACTTCTATCACCAACTGCCTTCTCTGAGTGGATACTGAAGATCATGTGACCAGACAACAAAGCAACGAACTAAGCAAGAACGTATTGTCCATGAAATATGCAGAAAGAAGTGGAATAGAATAAGACACACACTGAGACGACCTCTGAGTGATTTCCCACCCCAGACCCTCGACTGGAATCCGAATAGGCAGTGACGAGATGGATATCTGATGGTGATATGCAGGAGATCACATGAGGAGGCAACGAAGGCTTATGTGCAATCGTAGAGCCAGTTATAGAGGATCGAAGAAGTGGAGATGTGTTTTTGAAGCCTGTCATTCCACTTAGAACCCCTAGGAATAGTGATAATCTTTAGAAAGAATGAATTGGGAGAATGAGTAGGTTTTAAATGTCTGAAATATTTATAATTATTAGGAAAGCTGAAAAGAAAACTTTCTAACAGAGATTAACTTAATCTCAAACTACATAGGGCTTACTAATGAAGTAGAATTGGATGAGAGAATTCTAAACTTTCTGGATTGTCCTGTAAAAAAAACAAATTGACAAGAAACCAAAGTTCACGAAATACAGGAAGCCGACATATTTCAGCAAATATTTGTATTTCCAGTCAGATCATCTAGTTGGAATGAAAGTTTCAGTAGCTTTAAATCTCGTTAACAGAGCTAGAAACATTATAGCAGATAATGATGATATGGAGAACGAGATATCCAATATAATATAGATTTTGGTTGGAAATGGTTATCCAGAAAAGCCACTGGATAATATTACCAGTAGAAAGGAGCATAAGGGAAAACAGAAAATTGAAAAATCTTGGTTATTGACGATAGCCATTCTATTTCGAAAAGCGGCAGCTGAACAACATCAAAGACTATTTCCTTCCAACCTGCGTTAAACGGAAGGTAGTCTAACTGCGGTAAATAGCCCATCGTGAAATAATATGTGAAATTAGTGGATTAGGGTCATATATTGGGAGTAATATTACTAATAATAATTCAGGACAATCATGCATGGAGTTACAATCACTGGTGCTTCACAAACATTAAACATTTATTTTTTGGATATAGAACGCTCTGAAAATAAACTACAGCTTGAAAAAGTGAACAGTGATTACGTAAGTATAATATTTGTCAGAATGTATAAATGAACTCCTCTCTGGATTTCAGCTAGATTTCCTAAAATTTAACAGATACTAAGACAAAATCCTATTGTTTTGATTATGTAACGTTAGTTTCTCCGATTATTATGTTTTGTTTGTTTGACTACTTATATTTTGTCAGTAACTTAATTATGTATCGTTAAAAAATATCCCGGAGTACATTTTAATTTTTCATGAAGTTCGTAACATAGATTTAAAAATACTTTTACACTTTGAATTAATACACTGTAAAATCCTTTCTGATAAAAGGAGGTATTGGTTTTCTTCGTTTCTTAGGCCCCATCACATACTTTAGCGCTAAATAGTTGGCAGCACCAGGCAAGTAGCAATGAACAGTGACTGAGTGTTTTTTGGCAGTCGTCAGCATAGCATATCTGCAACCTTATATAAGCTGATGTCTACTACAATCAGAGGCACTATCACTGGATGTTCGAGTTCACAACTGATCTCCTTTATTACTAAAGTGTGCACGTTGATTCGTCTCTTGACAGGGAGTCAAAATGGTGTGTTTATTTTCGAAGAAATTACCAGCGGTAAGCGATGTACTTCTGTCCCATTTCTTAATGTAGATACTCTTAATAAGTCTTTCATACGCTCTTCTGTCGATATCCTTCCCGATGTTACAAATCATATTGACAACAATTTTAATGGTTTTAATACCCTTGACGTGTTTAAATGTCTCCGGTCACTTAAGCCTTCCTAAAGCTTGGTCCTGATGGTGTACCTGCCACTGTCCTCAGGAACTGTGCTGACATTTTATGTTACTCTCTCACTAACATTTTTAATGCTTCCTTTTCCAGTAATATTCCATCTTTTGCATGGAAAAACATTCAAATTATCCCCATACCAAAACCATCTTGTGGTACTGATATTAAATTTAGGCCTATTGCAATTACTCCTCCTTCTTTTAAAATTGATTGAAAAATTACTCTTACTTCGTCTTGAACCCGCATTGAAACCTTTTAACGATCCCAAACAATTTGCTTACAAACATGGCAGAAGTGCCTTGGATGCTGCGGTTGTCTTACATCACAATGTTGTTTCTTGTTTAGACAAAAGGTGCCGTATATGTTCGTAGTGCTTCTCTAGACTACACATCTGCTTTTGACTCTGTACCTAGGGGCCTTTTATTAAATAAGCTATCATTGACACAAACAGGATCCTGGGCTAAGAGTTGGTTGCATTCCTATTTTTCTGATAGAATGCAGTATACTGTATATAACGGCAAATCTTCTTCTACCTCGCTTACAAAATCCGGTGTTCCACAAGGTGCTGTCCTCTCTCCTTTTCTTTTTCTTTCTTCCTACATGACCTGCCTCATTCAAACGAAACTAACTTTGTCAAATATGCAGATGATCTGACTGTATCACTGCCTATCACTTCTGAGTTTGACAGCTCCAAACTTAATAGCTTTCTGTTGGACATCAGCAAGTGGTCCAAGTCAAATGGTCTTATGTTAAATCCTTCCAAATGTCAGGCAGTTAACTTTACTTTCAAGCATCAACGTGACTTACATGAACTAGTTAGCTCGCATGATCCCTGTAGCATAGATTGCACGGAAATTGAAACCAAATCAAGCACCAAATACCTTGGATTAGTTCTTTCCCCTGATCCTTCATGGTCATCCCATATCTTATCTATCTCTAAGAAAATGTTTCGTCTTACCTTCTACATTAAAAGTTAAGACAATCAGGTATCAACCAACCTTTAGTTTTGCAATTTTTAAACTCCTGTATTTTACCTATTGTACTCTATTGCTCTCCATTAATCTTTCCTGGGCTTCTCAAAAAAGATTATATCATATTACGAAGAGTATTAAATGCTGTGAGTAAGGATTGTGGTATGCCACTGTGTGAGCTCGCAAATATTTTAGTCAAGAAACTTATAAAATCCTATACAAAATGGGAAAAGGCCGTACTGTCAGACCCTCTGCACTCCCTTTATTCACAACTATCCCCTTGCATCTCATCAGGTAGGAATAGAAGTCAATATAAGGAGTTATATGCTCGCACCACTAAGTACAAAAATTCTTCAACACCCTATTTAGTCCGTATTTTATGTGATGAAGACACTGTTAGACGTGAAACATATAAGTTACTATGTAGTTAGCAAAATAAATTGACCCTTTCATCGTTCATTTTTCTGTAATTTTATGGTGTCACACTTTCTATCGTTTTATTATAACTTAGCTATTTTATTTTAGTTGTTATTACTATTATTACTATAATTTTATGCTTTATGCATATTTTTCTCCTTATCGCATACATTAATTTGTTACATAGCTGCTACTACAACATTTTGTTATTATTATTATGTAATGTTTATTTTTTGTCATTTTGAGTAAATTAGATGTAATATTGTACTGAATGCTGAAAATTCCTTGCTGTATCATTAGTACTGTTTTTGGAATATAGGCAAAAGTTATTATTATTCGGTGTTCATGTTGATAATGCTTGATATTTTGATAAGTTTTGTTATACAGTAGAATAAGAGCAACTTGCTTCAAAATATTTCGGCCTATGATTTCTGAAACTCTTACATGGGAATTACCACTGGTATCAATTACAAACTCACTTAGTGTGTCATTATGTGCCTTTTCAAAGGAGGCCAATGTGCTTACTAGTCGCGTTTTCTCAGGTAGTTTGTTCCATATTCCGGCATACCTAACCAAGAAAAACTTTTGCCTGGTGGCTGTTTTACATGGTTCTATAGCCACTGTACCTTTAGTGTGTCTAAGGTTGTATCCTGTGTTACCTGAGAACCGAGTATAGTACTTGTCAATGTTGGTAAACATTGAATAGTTTGTTCGCTCAAAGTGGTCTCCATTTGGCGGGAGATAAGAAGGCTGTTCTTGATTAATTATGTACTGGTTTGTGGAAGGTTGAAGAAATAGGATCAGAAGTATTCTTGTACATTATATTAACCTTTATTTACAGAATTTAGTACTTATTGACCACTGTAAATCTATTTCGCTATCGCTTGAAGAATAAATAATCGTGTTGTTTAACTGTTTTCTCTTTTCCGTGTCGGTTACAGTGCACAGTGTTCTACGTATTAGGCTTAGTCTTCTGAGAAGAGCTATAGGTCCAGAATCTCTAGGATCTGGATATTTGACAGTACTGATATCACTCAGTGCTGTTTGTTAGCTAGCTAGATCGAAGTTATCTGAACACCGGATGGCTGTTTCATTTAATCGTGGCCAATTTCATAAGTAGTCTACTTGGTTCAACTTATGTGGATTAACATTATTCTTTCCAAATGCTTCCAATTCACTATTCAGCATTTAAAAATCAAAGGGTATTGATTTACAGCCACAGCTCAGTTGCATGCCTCTTTGAAATAAAAATTATATAAGCCTGGGAAATCACAGTCCACAAGAACTGAAATACTGACAGCTTTAGTTTACTGATCTATGGTTTTCGAAACAGAAATCCAACAAAGGGTAAACTTCATCATCAGACTAATTACATTGTTCACGTTTCTTCTATGGGTACACCAGATTAAAATTTACTTTCATTTTGTTGGCTCAATAGTTGTATGGTTTTCAGAACCCTGTATCATCAGATGTTAGGATTTTTTTAACTACAATAATGACAGCTTCAGTTTTAAATGTTTGTTTTAAACAGAGTTCAGAATCTATAGCTTGGCTTATTGTAAGATAATTGCTCTTTGTACTAGATCTTTAAGTAATACTAATAATAATAACAATCGATAATGCATCACCTGAACCAGTATGGTTCCACCTACAGCATGTTCCATGACTTCACTAAGAGACTTTCTTTCATTTCCTTCAAAACATTCCTAGCAGTAGGTTAAAACCTTTTAAAAAATGTGCGCGAAGATAGGCCATGATCCAAAGACGCAGCTGGATAGTTTAAACAATGTAAAATGCAATCAACAGGATGGATTTTAATGCACAGGAAGAAATAACTTAATTGCCCAGTGATTTAGGCAAGCTATCACTTGATTTAACTTTAGAAGAGAACCGAACGCAATGGAGACGCGCGGCTGAAGCCCTATGTTCCTCTGGGAATTAAAGGAAATAATAATATTATTATTATTGTACCCATTAATTCCTAGAGGAACATAGGGCTTCAGCTGCGCATCTCCAATGCTTTCTGCCAACCTTTTCACCCCGCTCCAAGTCTGTCCACATGCTTTTATCTCCTCTTCACATGACCTCCTCCAAGTCACCCTCGTACTGACGACCAACTCTCCGCCTCTCCTTTCGTGTTCCACTCGAGGACTTGTCTAGTGATGTCACTTGATGGTTTCCTCAGAGTATGACCAATCCATCTCCATTTCTTCTTGCTTATTTGTTGCACAATCGGTTCGTGATTGGTTTTCTCCCAGAGATTTCTGTTGCTGATCTTTTTTGGCCGGCCATATGATCTTGAGTATTGAGCGAAGACAGCTGTTGATGAAGGTCTGTAGTTTGTTTGAGGTGCTATTTAGAACTTTTCGATTTAATGAATTGGTCAGATAAAATTAGTTCGCCGACTGCTCAAGCTTCACGTAATCAAATTAGGATTATTTTTCTTTATTCTCTTGAAGCTGTTGAATAATCACGCTTATAAATAATTCTCCAAAACTATTAATGAGTCTCTCTGAATGCGAACTGTATATTGGGTCAATTGATAATAGTTTATCGTATCCAATGAACACCTCAATTTAGAAAATCTTCTCAACTCTTTCGACAAAACTCATCTACCTAATAAAATTCCCTGCACAATTGCTTGTAAGATTTAGTAGTGTGAAATATTCCCATATCATGAATTAAAAGTGAATCTGAACGCAGAATATTCATTTCAATAGATTCTCTTATTCAGGTTCTTAGAACAATATATTAGAATATTTATCAACGCGGTAATAACCAGTTATGCAGTGGATACACTTTCACGTAGAATGACAGATTAATAGTCACAGGCTGACAAAATAAACAAAATTTGTGTGACAAATGTTTGAATTCCATTACAAAACATGGAGAAATGTGAGGTGATGATGGTATGCAGTCATAACACAGCTTCATTCAAATTGAGGAGGGGAAATTGACAAATATGTTCAATTGCATGGAGGATTTAATCATCAGCTGACAATCAAACAAAATCCCTACAAAAACCAATACTTGAAAATATGTTCAAGGCTGTGAGTAGCTAGCATATATTGAGGGAAGAGATAATATCACTAATAGTGTGTTCGAATATTATAACATTAATATCATATTTTTATACCTGGAATAATGCGATAATGAAGGGTATAAATAATAATAAAAATGATAAATTATAAAGAGGAAAGCAAAAGTAAAGAGATAAGAGTAATAGGTACCTCTGGAGAGGCGAATAAATTATAATCCAAGTCTGACCACAGTAAGAATAACGCCCGAACATGCTCTTTTGACTACAAAGTTCCAGGAAAATCTAACTAAGTTCAAAAGACTCAGCTAAATGTAGATGTGAGCGAACTGTCTGTGATGATAACTTCAGAATATGATATATAACCCTGAAGGCTACGTCAGCATTGATGTGGTGTCCTTTTCCCACTAAGGGTAAGATAAATGAACATTTTATGCGTCTGATTTCCTTCTTACTCAAGCAAGTTGGTGAATGTTAATGTTTTAGCAAACAAACCTTGAAATGAC